TCGTAGTACAAGCGTAGCGCGTAGCCACCGCTAGCGCGGGAACTCGGCTGGCAAACTCGCGCTCTGATTGGTCGCGGTTTTTCGTTAATATCTCGTAAACGAAGCCGCAGTTTAAATTTTTGCTAAGGAAAAAGTTGTTCCAATTCACCCCCCGAGTGCCACATTTCCGGGTCGGAGGACATTTTTGGGACACCCTGTATAAGGTTTGATCAAAAGGTTCGAGGACTTTATGTACAATCGTTTATTATCTATCTTAACAATAATTCCATAGAATTGTAGCGGACACAGCTAGGTAGTTGGCTGTGGAGCGTCCCCGCACGGTTGCTGGTCATTTTTGCCCTCGAGCCGATGAGCTCAAGGTTTCGGGGGTAATAAAATGGTTTGCAGCTGTGCGCGGGGATTCCCGAATTGACAGGAAAATTTCCGTTTAAGTGGTCGGGGGAACTTTCTCTTTTAAGGGTTTTCTTCCTCCCCCGAAAAGACAGCGTGTGCAGGCTGGAGGCATTCGGTTACAAGCACTCGCCTAGTAAAGACATCGACCGAGTCATTCGTCACCCTTAACGCTAGGGCTAATATTTCCTAATTGTTGTTGGGAACCCAACAGCCTTAATTCCTTTTGGAATTTGTTTGTATATATAGTGTGTAGTGTAAATAAACTTTAGTATAGTTATAGTGAGTACTGATTAATACATTTCATAGCGTGGTGAGCTAACGTCGGAAAGAAGTCTAGATTCTTACTGCGATTTCTCAATTCTTGTGAATCACGTGGTAAAGCGTCTTATTTCAAATTTTTGAAGGTGATATATATTGAAACTTTAATTTATTTCAATGCAAATAGCAGCACATGATGTTCTGCTAACAATATCTACTCTTAGAAAACGTTTTCATTGCAAAGCTTAGGCACAGGATCAATTTTTCAGAATGTGCGCCATCTCTGCCATAATTACCCTATAAGAGCAGAAAAAAATTACTTTGAAGGTGACCCTATGGAATTATACATATATTGCAAAGATTAATAATAAATGATTTATGCAGAAGGTCCCAGAACTTTTTGATCAGACCTTGTATCTTAATAACCTAAATCTTCTAATGAACACGCGTACACTGTATACTTTATATTTATACATCCTGATCACAGAATATATGAAATATAACTAACTACAATATCTAATTAGCTAACTTAAAATGAGTGTAGAACTTAGTCAATTTATGGCAGCGAAGAATTAGTTTAGGGACAACAGTTCACTCCAAATTAAATGTCTGAAAACTACCTGAGTAGATTGTTCAATGTAACAAATACCATTCTCATTTGTAGACGGTTCATTCCGTTCGAAGGATGAAATTCACAGATTTCAGGATGAGTTCGATCAGTGGAGTGACTGAAATTAGTTTAATTATCGTCTTACGTCACGATCGAGTTCCGTTTCTGAGGTGTGTCTGCTCAGAGGTGCACTCTGCTCGAGCTCCTGACCTAAATCTGTCATTGCATCTTTCAGGTCGTAACTGCCCGAACTGCTGCTGCTGCTGGACCTCGCCGGTGACGGAGGCACCTCCAATCCGAACGGAATTTCCGTTTCCTCCAGTATCGGCGGGGGGCTGCATGGCTCTTCAATGACAGCCTGACACGGAATACCAAAGAATTTAATTTTCCACCGACCACGGTGAACCATCCCTGCGAAATTTTACATTTCACCCTGGAATTTAAGTGATCTATATAACAGGGTCTTTCATTAAAGCGGGATGTTTTTGTGAAGTTATGTCGCTCAATTTCGAAACAAAATGTTGTTTTGTATTTTAAATCTCTAGTGAGTAAACATTGGCGAATTTAGTGATGAAGTCGTATATAAGGGAACAACGCACTTTAATGGGACAAATTGTGCTATGAAATTTTTCTTTCGATAAAAAATAGCTTGTGTAAACTTGTTCGCGATTCTTGCTTTGCAATATAGGGAAAAGATTCGAGACAACTGGTTGGGTATTGATCACTCTAACATGCACACCTTCGTCCAGGTTGTTCTTCAGAAAATATCGTATTAAATCGTGAAAATGTAACAGAAAATCCGACAACGTCAGTTTCAAGATGTTCACAGCAAACTGGCGTTTCAAAGATCATGCCATTGCAAATTATGAGGAAGGATTTATTTTTAAGGACGCATAGCATTCAAATAACTCAAAAACTAACGTCTATACAATAACTTTGTTCAAAATTAATTTTTCAGGACGTGTAATTTCAGGGAATGGTGATGTCAATTGGAGACCGTTGAACTTTTTCCTTTGAGGCTACGTAAAACGGAAGGTCTACGCGAATAATCTGAAAACAGTTGAATAACGCAAAGAGGAGATCCAGAATGCTTTTGAAGATGTGTTGTATTTCTGTAAAAACGTTATTGCTCATTTTGATAAAAGGGCGCCTGTAAAAAAACTCGTGGTTTCACCAATTATTTTGAAATCAGATATTGTTTTTCATGTGTAATAAAGAAACCAAAAATCTTCTAATAAATTCGGTGTTTTCTATATTTATGAATTTTTAACATTTTCGAATGTGTGAAATAAGATAGAATAATGTCATCAGTAAAAATTTAACAATTTTTTAATTTATCTTTAACTCAATAAAAAGTTAATCGCTGTTCAACGTTTGTCTGCGTAACATGTTCTCTGATAATATAATCTTGCATAATAATTCGCTGTGTAAATGTATTAATCAGATTATTGAGTAGTAAGTGTTAGTTTTACTGATTGGTATTACAGGGTGTGACCCAAATAGTGGTACAACCTGACTGGAGGGGTTGCTTGATGAAAAAGTAAGTCGAAAACGTAGAATAGTATTTCTTGATGTAGGGCTCCGTTTTCGAGAAAATCCAATTTGAAAGATGATTAGACGATTAAGAAGATCTGATTTCAATGATGATTAGACGATTAAGATCTGATTCGAGAGATGATTGGACGATTAAGGAAGAAGATTATGTGTCTACATATTAGCCACTCTTTCAACTTGTAACAAACGTCAATAATGACTTGGTGTTCTGTTGTAATAATTCTATATTTGTCAATTTATATTAAATTATCGTTGAAAGTAGATAGTATTACAATACATTATCGATCAAGTCGATCATTATTAACATTAGTAAAAATAACTTGTAATGATCAGACACGTAATTCAATGATGTAAATTGAATCAAGTGCACGCGCATGCGATAATTATCCATCGATTTAATCCGCAACGAAAACTAATTAGCACATAAATTCTTGTTCATTTTCAACTGACTTTTGCAAAAACGTATCCTCCGATCTCAATTCCATAGAGAAAATATGTGATGAGCAGAATCGTAGAATACAAGGAATAGGACAAATATCAAAAGTAGACTTGCGGAATTAGTGGGAAAATGTTGGGAATAAAATTTCATCGGATACCATACAAAAACTGACGTTCCGAATGCCAAAACTCGCGACAACTGTCATCAGGAAACGTGCTGGCTGTATCGATGAAAACAAAATACGTATAAGGGAAAAATTCTCTTTTTATAATAAATCTGTCTTTTTATCCAATGCATGCTTCTTGCATGCTTCGAATATAAAATACTAAATAAAGTAACAATGGTTGAAAATAACTCTGCAACAAATTTTCAACGGTTTGTCACAATTATTCAACACAGAGTAGGTGTTCTAATATTTATGGCCGGCAGTGCACTTATAACATTCCAGAATATTCAGAAAATAATTTCATAATAGAATTTATGGAGAATCAAGATAATTTTCAAGGTATTTTCATTATATTGAAATTCTTATAAAAACCCTTATAAATTTTCATACTGAAAACGTTAATTTTATTTCTTTCCAATTTTCTTGCAGTTTGAAATGCCTTGAATTCGAAAATATGAAAGCATAATAGTTTCAGTGAATCGGTAACTAGGTTAGAATGTAACGAAGCTTTTTTTTAAAGGAAATAAGGCTTTCATGGAACCATAATTATGAAAATTGTTATCGTTCCATTTACGCTAATTCCTCTTGATTATTTCCTTGGAGAGCAACAGTTGTAACATTCGCGGCTGAGTAAGAAGTCAATTTAAATTATAATTATAAAATATCCCGAGCAATAAACTTTTCATAAAATATAATACTCGTGTTCCCTATGAAATATACACCTTGTATGATTTTGTTTTACTGTGTATATTTTATAATGCTAGTTCCGTAATAGAACTTCTTATCTATCGACCGTGAAAGAATACTTGATACGTGAAACTGTATCAGGTAAACATATTTTACATACACGTGGACAAAAATGTTACTTGGTATCACGACTTCTCCTATTTCTCTATTTACAGACGTGTATTTGATATTCAACGAACGGCCTGTATTCAGTGGGTTGGTATGCGCTATAAATATCTTGGTTTGTGTTCCGTGCATAAATATCAATACTTTCCAAAGCGAAATGTCTATTTCTGTCCCCAATGCCTCAGGAATCTGAAAGTTCTGTTATTAAAGATGCGAGTGGAACTATGTATAGATTAATACGAAACTGTTTTTTTATTAGCTGCTTCATAAATCAAGTCGATTAAATGGAAGAGATAATTATAACAATACAATTAAGAATATAATTCTATTACGTCCAATTATTTAATAAATCATTGGCCTCCTTAAGTACGCAGGATCTAATAAAGGCACTATTTAAGTATTTTCTCATTTTTGTATTCATTCTTTTTTATTCCCTGCTGTATTATCCCTAAAATAAATATTCTTTATTCTTTATAATATCCTATTGTAGTTTGTAGTTGTACATGGTATTTATGGATGTTCCATTTTTGAATATAAAATCAATGCTGTGTGTATACATGTAATTCTCAACGCTGTATTAACTTTGTTTGAATCGAATAAGTATGAAATAAAAGTAATGAATGTAATAAATACCTTACTTACAATTAGAAAGTAATACCCATGGAGTACACTTCAATATAGTAGTAATACATTACGATTTCCAAAAAGTTTGTTTGCAAGGTGTTATTCCTTATGACACCAAGCAATTTTTGCATTTCTCATTTTTTTCTAGCTCCTTCTGTTTTTAAGTATTTGACAAAAGTTTTTCCTCCCTTAGCTTTGAAAGGAGATTGAACCCCTACCCGCTTCCCTCTTCCTAATCATTAATCTCCACCAAAAAAAAATACATGTTGAATATTTTCAGCTATTGCATCACTGTCTGAATAGATAGGATACATGTTCATATGACGTTTTCTTACTTATCGGTTATTCCACGCGAAATCGGATACTTTTTGGAGTAACATTTCGGATTTTGTCGACACTCGGATACGTTGTAGTCTTTAGTGATATATAAACGTATCTCGAAGGATTTTTAAAAATTTTGAAAATTGACGATTTTAGAAAAGAAGACAGCACAACAAGCCATGCATTAGGTATTGAGCTAATTTTAACTTTAATTAATTTTCATATGGTCAATTTTGAAGTGTCTTTATTTTCGAAAATTTGTAAAAAAAATAAGGACAATTAGGACTGTATCCTCATTTTCTTTAAAAATTTTAAGTACTTCCCCGCTATTATAATATTGTAATTCTTTAAAACAATTGCTGAATAAATGGTTAAAAAATATTTTTTTCGAACTGAATTCATTTTGGTTAGGTACTGCTACATCTTAAATGTAAGCACCCACGAAACTCATTTTGATAAGTTTGTTAATTTAACAGTTATGATTTATTGAAAAAATGCCGACACTATATTTCAAACAGCTGTAAATTCAGAAATTTTTAAAATTTTCATAAATCTTTCATGATACGTTTATATACAGTAATGTCTCGATAAATGCGACGAAATCGGCCCAACTTCGGAGCATTCGTGGCAAGGCGGAAAGGTTTTCAACCCCTCATAAATTTGTTCTTTTTTACGAAGAGGAGGCTCGGCGCAGTTTCTGTTTACTCTGTTTTGATTGGTTCCAGAATGGAGACCCCCAGTGGTGGGAATAGTACCGTTGGTCGTGTCGCATTCATCGGGGAATGACTGTATCACTACAGACTACAACATATCCAAACGTCAACAAAACTCCAAAATCGTGCTTCAAAAATTGCCAGATTTCGCGTGGAATGACCCTTATATAAGTGTGTAGATTTATAGTGCTTCTTCGAGTTAAAGTATCTTCGTAAAAACAGCTGGGTTTCGGATCTTTCACGCTTTTAAGGGTTTCGGTGGCAAGTTCAGCGTCCTGAGCCCTGAGACGGTAAACTTTTTTGAAAAAGTAGCAAATGACACATTTAGCGGCTTGTACACCCACGAGCAAACTCTGCTTCCACTATGGGAAAAAGCGGCGTAAGAGTAAGGGCCCCTTATCACATGATCTCGGGAGTTACTGAAATGTATGCCAAATTAATAATCATTGGAATATTTATTTCAGTACTTAAAATAAATTTACAAAGTGGTAGGAGGCCCTTCCCTACGCCACTTTTTCCCCTAGCGGAAGCCGAGTTTGCACGTCAGTGTACCCTCAACGGTATCGCATACCACACCCACTGAGAGGGTTACACATAAAGTTACTATAGCTCGGAAAGAGACTATACCCTCTGACGTATTGCCATGCATTTCTGAATCATCCTGTATTACTCTTCACTTTCCCACACCACGCCAGGAGTTGAAAGGAAGAAGCTTACCTCGCTGCGAGCCAAGCTGTAGATCGAGCTCGCGCTCTCGAAGGAACTTCCCTCCGCGGCGGTGGCAGTCGCCGAGGCGGACGCCGCGGCGCTCGACGTCTGCGGGGGCCTCGACCAGGAACTGGTCGTCGCGGAGGTGCCGGTAGTGGTCCCAGTCTCGGTAGAGGTGTTGGCAGTGACGTAGTCCTCGGACGTCTCGGACAGGTCGGTGTTCGTACGACCGCCCGAGTCCGTTCGCGCGAGGCTCAACCCGAACTCGCTCGAGGATTGCGACTGCGGCTGCGACAACGGCGGACCAGGACTGGAACGACGAAATACGCCCCTCGGTCTACCGTTGCCCGGCGCGATCGCTTCGACGCTGAGAAGCAATTGCCTTTAAAAATTGCTTAAGGTTGCACGCGAGATATCTACCACGGGGCGACTTTCGATGGCTTGATTTAACACGTTTAACCCCGATGATGCACATGTGCATCATGGGTGGGCATCTGACAAGGGAAGACACGGAAGTGTCCCCCTCCGATTTTGATGAAACTTCGTACGACTGTTAAGCAGTCAAAAATAAGGGATACGTATTTTTTTTATTGGCTGAGACGCGATTTTAAGGGGTGAAACCACCCCTCGAAGTTTCGACCCAAAAGTACTATACTGGAAAACCAGAGGAGATAGATGAAAACTTCTAATGGACGAGGTTTGCGGGGTTTTATGTAGAATAATATGGTGCTAACAAATTGTCCAAAATATAATTTGTTTATAACAAAAAAATTTCGGATCGAAACTTTGAGCGGTGGTTTCACCCTGTAAAGTCGCGTCTCAGGATATAAAAAAAAATACGTATCCCTTATTTTTGACTGCTTAACAGACATACGAAGTTTTATCAAAATCAGAGGGGGACACTTTCGTGCACCTAACCCAGACCCTTGTGGGTCTGCGTCAATTAAGGGGATAGGACACCTTTGACAGCTTGAAGACAGGCCTTTGCCGAAACGAAGGTAGAGCAGATTTTTCTGTTTACTTTTAATCACTATTCTATTCGTTTTAGTACAAACGAAAAAATGTTTCAATGTCTGTAATCACATAAATGCTCTGGGTAAAAATGTAGAGGCGTGCACGCGGTGCACCATCTGATGGTGTACATCGTTCTCACCAGGTGAATTATCAGACATAATGCATACAGCGAAAGGATTTTTATAACCCATAAGACTGTCTCTACTATCTGTCGTAAGCACCACTTCGAAAAAAATATAATACAGTTTTTATGTTGAAAAATAACATTTTATCGTTTTTTTGTAGGAAAAATATTTATCCTTTTTTAAAGAATTTATCTTCAAAATCCGCTCCCTACACATCGGAGGACTGGGTTTGTGGATCTATTATTAATTTTCATTGAAATCATTGGAACAGTTTTCGAGGTTTTATGTTGACCGTCTTGAACAACGTAGTTCGTGGGAAATCGCGTTTGAAGTACCAGGTAAGTAGTAAACGTTCGCTCCTGTCTACACGCTCTCATATTTTTGGTTGGCATTTCGTTAGTTTTTGGGATTTCGGAGTGTGTTCACGCTTACAATACACAGAAATGATGTAGCTATTAGAGTATGTAATAGTCCAAAAATCGAAATTTTGACTATTTCAAAGGTGTTTTATCCCCTTTAGGGGCTTTAGAGGATACTCTTATTTGGAAGGGGTAAAAAATGAATTTTCTTTATACTATTTTCATTAAGTATATCATTACGAAAATATTCTTCCTACCTAAAACACTACACTTGAATTCGACGAAATGACGAAGTTACAACGGATTCCGGAAAGCTGTGCGCCATTAAAAATTCTAAGTGCATGGCACGATCGAATTCGTTACTGCACAAGTTACACAAACCGTCGTTAAATAAAAAAGTTTTAAAAATTATTCGGCCAATGTACGAAGACTTGGCTTTGATAAAATTAGAAAGACGTTCAGGTGTATACACACGAAATAATAACGAAAGTTTAAACTCGATAATTTGGACCTTAGGGCCAAAACGTATACATTACATAAAAGAAACCATGGAAATTGCTTCTTTCATAGCAGCTTGCATATTCAGAAGAGGATTTTTTTTTATTTTATGAATTTAACCTGAAATGGGGATCCGCAGTGAATCATTATATTTTATATTCAACTCAAATATAAATAACTCACACCACGCTAAGTGGATTACTTTTGAAATTAAAATATGTTATAATCCACGTGAATATAGAGGAGGCCGTTAAGATATTACTTCGCTAGTTTCGAAATTGTTTAAAAAATACAGACCCTCAAATTTCGCACTTTTCACCTTTTTTAACCTGTCGATGATGAAGTGGGGACACGTAACAAAAGTGGTAAGGTGGGGTTCCACATAGCCTCCCAAATATAGAAATGTCTTGATAAGTGTGAATGCCTCGGTTCCGCGGAGTCACACTCATGCTGAGCGTGGACAGTTGTCAGAACCTCGTCAATCAGTTCTTTGTTCGAAGCTCGAGCCTCAGTCGCTTACCTTTGTAGTGTTTCAACATAGAAAAGGACAAGAGAGTGAAAAATAGAAAGAGAAAGCATCTCTTTGCACTCGATTCGACTGCGTGGCCCGCCTGCGACGCTTCCACCGGCCAATGGTTACATCGTACTCGCTGCGGTTCGCGTTATCTTACTCGGCCTCGATGTGTCTCGTTCATTCTCTTCGTCACACAGTCCGATTGTGTGTGTACCGTTTCGGCTAATAATAAAAATATGTGTGACTGGAGGTGATCCAGCTAATTTCATTTGTCGGTAGCTCTCTAAGCATTCGCTGACGAAGCGTCGTACATATACATGTACATTTCCTCGCTCTGTCCGTCGAGTTCGTCGTGCAGTCGGTGAGAAGAAAGAGACTTTATTCGACGGATCGACGCGACGGTTGAACGAGGGAAGATCAAGAAAAGATTACATTCCCGGGTATCAGAGATACAACGCTAATACAACGGTGAACCTTTTTTAGTTTTCATTCGTTGTTAATGAAACTTTTACTAGTATATTGGTGAGATTTTTCTGATTAAAATGATACCAAATACGACATAATTTGGATCATATTTACTCATGTAGAAAGTGTTAACAATTCATATTCGTTCATTATCGCTTCTGATAAATCATAAGTAAACATGGTCGAAATTATATCGTGTTTGGTATCATTTTAATCAGAAAAATCTCACGAATATGTTTGTAAAAGTTTCGTTAACAAAGAACCACAAACAAAATGTTTCATCGTTGCATTTATTCCCCTCGACTAGCCGTCGGCTCGTGAAAGGAAAGCCGCCGTATCGCGGCGGGCAAAAAATTATACGCTTCACTGGTTCCACGGCCCCCTTCCCCAATGGTGGGGATGACGACTTCACACTTATCGTGGGCAAGCCGACTCACACTTATCAAGACATTTCTATAATGTAGTGTGTTATAGAAATCCATCTCTTCTTAATCAATATTACATGACGTATTGCTTAAGTGTCCTGCAAGTTCACAAAATAAAAATGCAGAACCACAAAATTAAATTTTTATTATGCAAAAATACTAAACCAATTGAATATCTTTATTTTTCAATAAAAATATACTCTTCTTAGCCTATATAGTCAACGAATTAAATAAATCATTATATTTTAGGCATTTTGGTATTAGTTACAAAAGGACAATATACATTATAAATAGCTAATAGAATAATAAACATTTTGCCTAGAGATTCCATGATATTGCCAATTAAAAATTTTCATTTTCTGTAGTTGCACAGTTTACACGTCTGCACACTAAACTTGCTTGCGAGCAACTGACTGTTGTTTATGGCGTCGAGTGGCGGGTTGCGGAAAGGGGAGCTACACTCCCGGAGCAATTTAAAATCTTTGAGATCTGTGACACCCCACCTTAGTAACGCCGGATTAAGAAAACTGGCTTCACAGACGAATCTGTATCTTCATAACTATTAAAAATGCGAACATGATGTTTCTTTCATTTTAACCGTAAAGGATCATTCTTTTTATATCATTTCTGTTATTTATATCTAAAGCTATTTTTCCAACGCAAAAATATTAAGAATATTCTTGTTTTATAAACTGCACGTTCAAGTCTGAAAAAATTTGAAAACCATGTGTCCGTTTTCTGTGATCTTTTCTCTTTAAAATATATTTTTTAATTCGCGGATACTTTAAAATAGTGGTCGAAGTAGACCGACAAATTTCGTGGCGTTCGACGATTCAGATAATTGCGCCGCCCCGTTGAAGTGATGACTTAAACTTCCCTATTTTCACATGGAATGTAACATATTTGAATGTGAGAAAAATCCCAGACTTGGCGCACAAAAGCGATCCGCTTGTCCTGGAATGATCGAAGCATGAATTGCGTTATGGCTTCGGGAGTATCCAGCGAACGGCCACCTCCGAGCGCTTCTAATCACTATATGTACACCCACTAGCAAACTCGACTTCCACTAGGGGAAAAAGTAGTGTTGGGAAAGGGACTCCTACCATGCTTGTACCACTTGATATTTGGAATTACTGAAATTTATGCCAAATTAACATTCGACTTAACATTTATTTCAGTACCTGGAATAAATTTACTAAGTGGTAGGAGACTTTTCTTCTACGCCGTTCTTTCCCCTAGCAGAATCCGAATTTGCACGCCAGTGTACATAGTTACAGTGGACTCTGACTATATTGCTACGCGTGGCACTTCCCCTTCACACGTACTTTCGAGCACACAACTTCGGTCTCCCACCACGTTGCGTACGCTGGCGCACCAGAACGATCCAACTTTTGCGCAGGCGCTGAGCCCGAGGCTATGACGATACAATTTAGCATGAAGGGAGGTCTGAACTCATTGCCATTTTACTCCCCTACAGTCCCGACGGTGGCAATATAGTTAGAGTCCACTGTACTTATACTATCAATAATTTTCGTAATTATCAAGAAAAAGGTGAAGAAAATATGACATGTTACCTTGGTGTTAATGGCTGGATGGGCGTCGCCGGCTCGAGACGTATCCGTGGACTCGATGGATGCGATTCCATTATTTCTTCGATATCCAACGCCTCGGTGTCCATAGAGGATCGCTGTTGGTGCTGTAGAAGTAGGAGATGCCTCCTCCTCGAGGACGGTGTTAAAAGGGCTAACGAGTCAGCCTGGAGGACCGTCGCTTGAGACTCGTTCCAAATTCCATCGCTGTGGTCTCTCGTGATGTCGTTCGTTAAGGAATCGCTCGAAGCGAATGGAGATGTGATCATGCCGGTGATCCCGGAACCAGGACTGAATACTATTGGGCAGACTGGTCCTGTTTGGTGCAATAGTCTCGTCGGTGATATAGTATAATCACCAGGACACTGTAAAATCCTTCTTGACGCTGAAACATTACGAAAGCGGCTATACACTACCATGGATAAGTATTTGGACATACTTCAAATACGAAATGAACCTAACAAAATGTCACGAATAGACTGTGGATTTTCATGCAAAATGACATTGTATAAATTAATTCGTAAAGACAAGAACAGAAGTAGGAATTTGTTTGTTTCGTTAAGTTCATTATTGAGTTAAGAATAAACTAGAAAATTCGTTGCACCCTATAAAAGTTTCATCATTCATTGTATTTCAAAAAGTACTACAGGCTATGATAGCATGAAATTCTCAGTCTAGTCATGAAACTATTAAAATATAAGGTGGTATGGAAGAAGCGTTACCACTTTGTTACGCTGCCCATTTGTTGGTGATGAAGTTATGTGAGTTTTCAGTTGACAGTTGTGTGTAGTGGACCATCCAATTTTATCATTGAGATAGAACCGTATTACAAAACTATTCGTCCGTTGTGTACACACAAAGAAAATTACGAGAAATTTTCGGTCGAGAACATGTGTCAAGTAAACCTACTATTCTCTCGGTAATTAAAAATTTAAAAACTTGTTTACTGTGGCTGATGGACCTAAGAGTGGTCGTCTCCGCAGTGTATGTTGTAACAGAAACATTGCATCTTTTAGGGATGGCAATATGATTGAAACTTTGAAAGAAATGTTTCTTGGACAAACTATATAAAAAACTGGTGACATTGATTAGCTTCTTTGTTCTCTTGATTTAACAGCTCTAGATTTTTTTCTTTGGGGGTGCATAAGGAAATGTCTATACAAACAAACCGACCACAATTGAGCAGCTGAAGGACAACATTCGTCAAGAAATTCACTAAATAACACAAGAAATATTTGAAAATGTTATGAAAAATGTTGTTAAAGGAACGCACCTTTATACAATAGTTAGAGGTGGCTATTTGGCCGATATTATATTCCACACATAATTAAAACGAATTAAGAAACTATAAATAAAAAAAATTTTATTTTATATTGTTTAATTTGAAAATTATTTGAAAAAAAGGTAACGCTTCTTTTGTGATACCCTGTATAGTGTTAAGGGAATCTTAACCCTTTCGATACTATAGTTGACTATAGCCGTCCGCCATGAAGCGAACTCCATGCACTATGAGCGACTATAGTCGTTCATCGCGAAGTAACTACTGTGTACCATTAAACAGTCATCAAACCGGTGCGTTGAAGTAGATTAACCCATCCGACCTGACATCATTACGGCGTACCGACTCACAGATTTTTGCATTTTCTATCAGTCTATGGTATTCAGGATGTTAAAGAAAATGTAGGACACTTTGATTGCTAGATTCTAGATGCTAAAATAAGATGAAAATTAAGAATTACGAAATTGATCTTGAGACTTCGTTTCTGAATTATTAATTGTTGGAAATACGCGTAAAATATCTATGAAATGCGTTGTATCGAAAAGGTTAAGATCAGTAGGTAATACTTTTAGTGATTACAGATGATAAAGCTTGTAAAAAATATGTAATCTGTGTGAACTTTTACATTTGTGTCCATCAGAACAAGTTCTTTAATGCTAATGGACGGGGACGTAGTTGAATGATTTCGAACAAATAAGACTATCTTAATTAGTAATGGGGTATGTGATGAATTTTTGGGAGAAAAATTTTGAAATATGTTAAATGGTATTATAGTTTTACTGCAAAACATTTCCAACAACGTGATATTTTATGTTAAGTTTGAGTGGAAAAGTTAGGAAGTAACCCGAAAAAAATTACTTACTTTAAAAAATAAATTTATAATTAAAAAAGAACAACACTATTTAGTTAAATAACATGATGTTGAAAATGTTTCAACCATGGAATATTTATAGTTAGAAAGCTTGCAAACTGCGTTTTATGTACTGATATTTACAAATCCTCAATTTTACCCATTTTCATGGATATACAAAATTTGGATTTACGTTTGTAAATAGACTATTTAATCTTTGAGAATGTACATAAATATGTTTATTTAAAAGAATTCTGTAAATTTTTCTATTCGATTGAGTTGTAAACATGCAATAATTAATTTAATTGCATTGTGGTCCGTATATGTATATTGTAATGTACCACCAGCTGGAAATTAACGTTAAAGTCTATCTCCTTTCACAGTAAAATCAAATAATGCAGTTTGAACGAAACTAAAAGTTTTTGCTAAAATAAATACATTGATACATAGTAAATATAAATATTTAACAGAAATGCTTTCCCTGATGAGTAGACTACGGAAGTTTATGTAAATTCAAAATTTTCAGTATCAATATCTAAAAAGGTAAATAGGGCAGAATTTTGATTTCTGAACTAGAGGCTTTACTACGTTAATATTAACACATACGTAGTATTATATTTCATTGAAAACTTTGTCTCATTTTCCAAATTAAGCGATCCTATAAATGCAAATATCCACAGTCTACTGATAAGAGATTTGTCCCGCCTAAATCGTTACAAAATTATATTTTGTATTCACTTGCTTTATACATAATTGTAGGACTTCTACCATAACATACACAATTTCAGATCAGAAAAATAACAGTAGGGTAAACCAACCAGTAATTGACTGCATGCCAGTGAATGTCTATTAAGCAAAGAAATGTAAATTATAAATGTTAAATTATTAAATGCTTATAAACGGAGCGTAGTTGCACTTTTGATATCCCATATTTTTAGTTTAGCGTATTAAACAAACATTAGTAAGTACGATTCTTATTAAACATATTTTAGAAATGAAGTTTTATGGGCTTTTGCATGTTTTGCAATTTATAAATAATTTTTAAAAATTACGAGTAGAATGAGTAATAATTTTTATAAACATTTAAAAAATAATGAATGTAATTTCAATTTCAACAGCTATTTTGTTGTTATAAATAGATACATTCAAGTATTAATTTCAAACGTCCATAAATTCAACAATTCGGTCATTCACTGGTTGGTTTACCTTAGTTCCTTAAATTTCCCTCCAATAAAACGTAACTCAACAAACACTAAAAGAATAATCTCCAACTTGAAAAATTAGAAACAGTTATACTTTCGTGCCAATCCTTGTGACAAGAAAACACGTGCTTGAAACTTTCAATCTCCCGTTTAGCATTCTTCAAAAGTACAGGTAAACACGTTGTCGCGGCTGCGAAAACACGAAACGGACGCAGCAACAGAACAAACGGCGTTTAAACGATAAAAAACGGTCGCATTAAGCACGCGGTAAAAAGAACGGGTACCAAAGATAAATCAGCGTCTGTCTCTATTTTCTCTCTCTCTCTCTCTCTCTCTCTCTCTCCCTCTCTCTCTCACTCTTCCGTTGAAATTGCCGGGTTACGTTCATAAAAAAAAAAGTCCAGCGTAAAACGACCATCGTTCCGCGCCCGTCGAGACTCCCGAAACCACGACCGCGGAAACTTTCTGTGAAATTTTACTAGCTGGATAAAAAGGTGAAACGCGCATGCGGCGCGCGGTGTAAATCGTATTTCATACTTGATACTGCGGTCGGCGACGTGGGGGACATAGGAAGTGATCTCGGCAGCATAAAGTCGTCCGACGTTAAACCCTGCACGCCGTCCTCCAACGACACGCTCCTCTTCCGGAAAAGTCCACGTCGGATGAGATTCTCGTGAAACTCCTGCAACGATATCGACGAATAACGTTTCCGACAACACCGTTCGAGCGAACACTTTCAGATGGTTTAACGCGTTTGCGTCGTGCTATTCCTTCCGATATTTTCAGCATCCACTGATTGAATACCTGGCGGGAAAAACGTTGTACGTTACAATTTTCGAATTTCACAGGAGAGCGTTTTAACCCTTTCAGACCTGAATTTTCGTTTAAGGGTAAACAAGTATTTGATTACACGGTTGAACTCAGTAGACTGTTTAGATGTTATTTTGTTTTAAAGAAATGTTTATATGTCCTGTAGTTTTGTGAATATTAAATATACACACATGTTTACATTTGGACTCAAGTAAGTTCAGAACATGAAAAAAGTTCAATTTATGAAAAAAATATGGATCTGCAACACACTGTACCTAAGACTGTGTGAAATTGTAAGAGTCGTCGTGTACACAAATGTGGCAACCAGGACTGAAAGGGTTAAAATTTCTCAATGCCAAAATCAGCACGTTTAGTATAGGAATGTAATACACAACGTTTTTCCATTTTTTTGTAATATAGTGGTTAATGAAGAAGAAAACATTTAAATTTATGCAAATTGTAACATTCAACAGTTTTGACAGCAATCCGCTTGGACCTCCGCCGTTTGCGTCTCTGTACGCAATCTACTGGCGTAGAGGAGAGCTACATAATTGAGACCACAGATAGATGAGAAAATACCCAAAAATCATGTTTACATAAAAAAATTAAATTTTCTGGAAACGTAACATGCAACGATTTTCCCGCTAAGTATTCGATTATTGTTTTCTTTTCCTAACGTAAAGGAGGGGCAAAGTTAATTCATGGATTTTAAAAAATGATAACTTGTTTCTTGCTTAATATTTTGTAATACCTTTCTTTCATTTTTGCAGAGAAAACTTAGTAGATTTAAGTATGGAGGCGTACACTATTGCCGAGAGAACCAACATTTATTTTTACAATGGAACTTTTGAGACTCTTCTCAAATTGTATAATTTAAAAAAACGGCGATTATAGGTGGTCATGGCAATCGCCTGATCTGACTGCGCCAGATTTCTTCCTGTGGGACTATCTAAAGGAATAAGTTTATGTTAATGGCTGCGAATTTTACAAGCTCTAAAAGACAATATTCTAGAAGAAGTTGCCTTCACACCTGCAATACTTGAAAAAGTAACGGAAAACAGTATGGAAAAGAGTCTACCTTTGCTTCCAAAATCAAGGCGCACACTTAACGGATATAATTTTCTGCTCTTAATATAACGGAAAAGCAAACAATAAACTTTCATTTTCAACTTCAATTTTTCATTTATTTCACTTCGTTCAAATGTTACTGTAAAAGAGCATCCATCAATTACTTTTGCCGCACCCTGTACTTTTTGTTTTTATGCAGAATGATAAAAAAGAGGTCTACAACTTTAGGGGTTTATAGTACTCATCGAAGGGAGTCAAAAATCTTTCAAAGAAAAATACAGAAGTTTGGTTTCGTATTTTTTATTGATGTCCCATATGTTTTCCATTCATTTTAATACACCACTCACATCTGTGGATTATAGATCGACGTACATTTTTATATATTCTTTCCATATCTTGTATTGTATATCGCATTCTATCTTGAATTAACATTACTTTCAAACCAGTTTTTGGTTTACATGTAATATGTTGCGAAGAGACTCACGATATGGAACGCTGGTAAATATGAAAGTCAATTTTACACTGAAAAAATTGATTTTAGGATTTATGTTGAAGAGACGTTTTTCACTCCTCACAGTGAGTACTATATGTATATGTATAAGTCCCTCAAGTCATAGACCCTTTTTTTATCACCCTGGATATCGAAAAAAAATGTTAGGAAATCTGCTTGAAATTTTTTGTGGTAGAAAACTATTAATTAGTCAACCATTTAGTAATGAAAACATTTTTTCTTCTACAGTTTAGTTAATAGTCCTTGGGGTTTGGAGGATCTCTAATCAAATATTGTTTATATGTATTGCTTACTATTCAAAAGAGGATTAAAACAGCCCAATTTTGAATTGTGACATTATACTTGTTAAGTTATATAATTTTATGGTAAATAAATATTTTCATCTGAAGATTTCTGTGAACACAAAAAGTGTTTAGCTGAAATTTCTATAGGTACTGCTGTTTGGAAGTTCTAAAACAATAGTATTAAATGTATTAAGTATTAAACTTTAAGAAAAGAGCCACAGTTGTAAACCTGTAACGTTTCAGACGTGATTTACATTAACCCTTTGAAAATACAGAAGTTTGGTTTCATATTTCTTGTAGATGTTCGATGTGTCTTCCATCCATTTTATCGTAATACACAACTCACATCTCTATAACTTCCAGTGTAGCAACGGTACAACGCTCATTTTAAAAGTGCATCAGATTTTGTCGCTGATTAATATCTAACTTTTCCCAGCAAGGATCCGTAGTTTCACTGATGTGAAGAAGATTTCAACGTTTCCGTTGAGAAATTGAAGGATTCCCTCCAAAAATAAATGAAAAAAAGAAATTAAAAATGAAAGTTTAGGTGGGTTTAATATCGATAATTTCGACTGCAAAATCACAAGATAGTATCTTGAAGATACAAATTATAATTTTGAAATAACGACATAAGGGTCCGGCCATTAAAGGGTTAAGAACATTTGAGAAAGCTAAGGGGGCAAAGAATCATGATTATGTGGGACAGAATACTGTATCAACAATTTCTAAGAAGTCAAAATAATTTTTTTCCAGTTACGAAAGCTGTCTAGTTAGCTCAACGATCGATAGGTACAATTGTTCACAAGTGCTGTGTGTTCATTTATCTTGAGGACACCTCAAACAATAATGTTTTCCTTACTTTATGTACTGTAGTAATCGCATGTAAGCAATTAAATGTAAATAATCTATTTATCTATATGCTTTTCATCCAACCTAGTATTAAATTATTAATTCTAGAAGGTGTGATGCATCGAATACCAGTTGTGACGAAGTATCGCGAAAGCTGGCGGAGAAATAAATACTAAGCCACATTGAGTCCCAGATGCAAACACTTAATAGTTTATAAGATCTTTAACAACAAAGATCGTATTTCGCCCGAGAAGGTCTTTTTAACTTCTTTAATCTTTCAGGGAAGATGTATGGCACTGTGGGAAAACTGGCAGCTTCGTAACCAACCGACTGGGATTCAATCCCCGCGGGAGTCTAAATATGTTTCCTTCGTAAAACCTCATCCCTTTATAGAGAAAGTTATATTTCGCAATATTTTCTATTACATTTAACATGGTATTTTCTAAATACTTATTTAATAGGCTTTTAATAACTATTCGATCAAATTCGAATTAGGCTTTTGATAACTATCGTTTAATATGTATTTCTTAGAAAATTGAAACCCTACTCTATTTGAATAATATCTCTTCGCATTCTCTAGTAACCTCCGACATTTAAAAGGAAAAAAAAAGTCTGAATATGTTTTCTATTCAAACCATGTTACCAGTTTATTAACCCCTAAATGCGCGCACTCGAATTAACTCGAGCAAGCGGCATTACGTTGCGAAAAAACCGTGCTTTAAGGGGTTAAGGAAATTAGTGGATTCCTTATGGTGCACCTAATAATCGTCCTCCTATCCCAAAAGTATTTTGAATAAAAATATTTATTGCACGACTACTATATGCTGTTTGACGATCATACATTGTTACAGATTTTATAAAATTGTAACGAATTAACGGTACAGTATACTTTTTCATTTGAATTGAATTTTAAAACACATCATGCATATGGTATCATGTTTGTTAGTACTAGGGCTACTACTTTTACCCGGGTTCCCGTGTACCCGTGAGATATCAGAATGTACGAGATAGTCGAGAATTTTGATTCGAGAGTCGACCATTTTTCAGCCATGTTCGATCGATATCGGCAATGAACGGAATAAACTGCGAAAAATTGAGAATGATATTACCTGCACGTTACGATTACGCTTGAATATCTTTCGAACCCTTGAATATCTTACGAACATGTACGCGTATAAATATTCTAATAAAAACGCTAATAAATATTTGGAAAATAATATTGCAATATTCTTTTGTAATCAGTAATCATATAATAATGAGTAAGTCATGTTTTTGCAATGTAAGGTGAGTGCTAATTGTAAGTAGCGCAGTATACGCTGCTGTGATCGACTCACGAATCGAAATTCTCGACTGTCTCACATATTCGGATATCTTATGGATACTCGGGTACCCGGGTATCTCATGGGTACCCAGGTAATTTTTGTCCACCCGGCTATCTCACGGGTACCCGGGTACCCGAGTATCTTATAAAGTCACAGCTCTAGTTAGTACTAGTGTGGAAAGTTAATTACGAATTAAAATACGTAATATTTAATTATGATATGTTCTTTTATCTATCGATAAAAGAAATGTTACAAAATAAACATTTTTACCTCCACGAAAATCTTTCTCAGCCGTTTTATATTTAGAATTTAACCATATTAATGTTGCACACAAAATTGTAGTGTGTTCCATTCATAAATATCAATTTAATCTACAAACAGAACTTGCTAGGTGAAGAATATAACAAAAATACGAGTATAGTTATGGCAACGTACTGCCTCTTTGATACCATTTCTACACGTTTCTTCTATTCTTTAGTAAGTAGTTTAATAATAACCTGAGGTGTTTGAGTTAGATGAATCGTTACTGTATATAAAAATTTTAGTCGATTTCTCCAAACGATTCCATAAATAATGAATTAAAAGGTTTAAAATTACTTGCAGCGACCTCAATATTCAAACGAATTTATTGGTATTTTTAACTTTCGCGCCGACAAAATTTAAAATATTCAAGTGGCATGAATTATTTCATCGATTAAGAAGGAATGCAAAAAAGAAGGTATGAAATTGGTCCTTATATTTATATCCAGAGTTATTTAGAAGAATGGTAAGGTCACTTTTAGTTGTAAATCCATTTATTTAATCTTCAAAGTAGATCAGAGTTGAAGAGGACAGAAAA